AAAAGCAAAAGCAGCAGCACTAAAGGCAGGTGAGGGATGGGATGAGATGAGAATATTGGTTGTTTGCCACTTTTGTGCCCACCACTTTGCCAGTGGGAGGAAATATAACAGTGGAAACACCAACATAATGCCACAAAGTCGCTGCAGAAGATTTAAAAGGCATGGCTGTGTGGCTGAGTGGTGACGTCCCCAGTAGGAATAACACATACTGTACTAATTTACAAAGGGCGCTCTCATTTCGCTAGTGATAAAGGCAACACCTTAGGTGCAGGTCTGTGTGTGTTTTTCTCCTGAACCAGTTTAAAGAGATATCTTAGGAAGAGATTTTAAAATTGTATTTGAGGACAATATTTTTTTAAAAAATCAAATGGTAAAACAGTACATAAAGAATACGGAATAAGCGTTGGAAGGGATCGTGGAAGTCTATAATGATTACACAGGAGCCTTAATATGTATCTGGTATTAATGAATGCAGGGGTGCCTGTTTTATTGCAAAGTAATGGTCTTAAACATTTTTCCATTGTGTTTTGCATTCATTCAACATGAATATATTTTTAGGATTTAGCATCTGGGGTCTGAAAGAGGTGTCAATAGACAGAGATGTCTGGGTTGTGAAATAAGTAGTTGTAAGTCTGGATTGGTAGTAGTTGTATCTGGATTACAACTGCTGCAACCCTTTCAGCTTTTCCTTGTGATCTTTAACAGATGCAGAAGGCACCCCAATGCTGGAACATTCATTTCAGCCGTAATATTCATACATTTACTCAAACCTTTAAGTTTTCTCTTGGTAAGGCTACAGTTGTGGGCTACCTTATTCACCAAGTCTTGAACATTAATCCTGTAGGAGAAGAGCTAGCATAAGTAGGGAGTGGAATTAAGTGTGTTATAAGCTTAGAATCATTACATTGCTACAAATGATCCTTGCACCTTTCTTGAATTCTGTTGATCATATTTGGCACCAATTTAGTACTGAACTAGTTGACTAGATTCTTGTGCAAGCTTGAGCAATAAATTTTTGAACTCTAACTTAATGTATAATCCTGATCCTTTGCACCTGACAAGCACCAGGAATCAACATACTCTTATATAACAAATAGCTATTATTGTCCCACATTGTAATAACCCTATGGTGCTTCATTTTGTTCAACAACAGTTCAGCATTCTTCTGCAATCTATTTATGCCACTTATGATCTCTTCCACTGTCATGTCCATGTTGCTGATAGTAATCCTGGGAGGTTAGAACTGTTAGATGTGGTTAACTTGGGAGCTCCTCTAGCTGAAAGGGGAGTAAATGAGAGTCACTTTATCTTTTTCACACTCACTTTATCTGGTCAGTCCTAGGAACCCTTGCAGCAAACAATTATAGAGTTTAATGTTGTTATTTCCAGAGAAGTCTGCTCTTCAAAGAATGGCGTACATCTCATCATCCAGTCGCTTAGTGGCCATTGACCTAAAGTAGGCATTTTTGTGTATGGTTATTCCATTTGATGGCACCAGATTATTTTCTCAGTTATGGCCCATGACATATTCAGGAAACAGACTGCTCAGCAGCTGAATTGCACCACTTAATAAGGCCCCAAAGAAGCTTCCATGATGTGATGCTTCTTTTTGAGGGAGGACTTTTTAGCACTCAACATTTTAATGGCCCATTTCTTTTCTTTAAGATTCAGAACTGAGAAGCTTTAAGATTTCTTTTTAGCATATTCAGGATTGTTTCTGCCACGGCCCCCATCAGATCATTATTAACATTGCATTAAATGCCCTTCTATTTTGCTCCAGACTTTCCACACACTTCTAAAGATCCTCCAATTTTTGTGTACTTTCTTCAAGAGCCACTATTCTTTCCCCTTCTATTTCATGGTACAAACATGAGGCCAGTCAGCTGGAAAGAGGCTGTTCTCAGTTTATAGCTTCCAGATTAGTGCCTGCTGTATTTAACAAAAGAGGGTTGAGATGGCACCTTGGAACTCTTTTTAAAAATACTGTGTAAGTAAGATACAGTCCTCACAAAGGCAATAGAACAATCCTCTTTATAATACAGATAATCAGAGTTGGAAGGGACCTTGTAGATCATCTAGTCCAACCC